ACTGCAGAATAGATTATTTGAGCACTGGTTTTTGAAAAAGGTAATATTTTATTCATTTTTCTTGAATTATGACCGAGATAAATGATTAGTACGAGTTGTAGTGTACCATGCTGTTTGTGCTGGCTTTCTCTGTTATAGTTAATAGGACATGGATGGCAGGCATCACATTGTTGTATTGAAGTGGTTGGAACTTGAGCCTGAACCTTTTGAACTCTAGGAATTATTACTATTTCGAAACAAAGTGTGCAGTGTACGTATTCAATTTACACACAGATGCTGAGTAGCTTCTGTAGCTGGAACAAGTAACTGTTTTTATTTGAAGAACAGATTCACCAATCTATATGTGAAAGGTAGATTAAATGGTTCGACACTTTTGAGTTATGCTTTAAATCAATACATAAATAGCCTTTCTATTATTTATCGTACATGAAGGTTTTTTTTTATTAATAAAAAAATATATATCCACTTATAAAAAAAATCCAGTATTTATTAATAAAAAAACGAGATATTTATGCTAACCCCTATGAAAATTTTAATGTGAACTCATATCTGATGATGAAAAGATATCATTAAAAGAAAGAAATAAATCCTTCTCGTTTTTGCATGCCTTTACTCAACAGGTTAAGTTGTCAGTTGGTAAGAAGTTCGTGGATAAATTTATAGGAACACTGAAGTATTTTTGGTACAAAGGTTCCAATTTGTCAATGTCTCAAAGATTCAAAGCAGTGGCTTAAACAACCTGCTTTTACTCGGACTATTATCTCGATTATTTTAAGGAATGTGTCAGCAGGACTGGGCACTGGAAGGACTTACTGGTTACCGCACCAAATAGTCATCTGCAAGTGCCAACCGATCTTTTAGCCAGAGCGCATGCCCCCAACCTTCAAGTAACATTTCTTTCTTTATTCTTTTTTCTGCTTTTAAGGTAGCAGTTTGTAGATAACTAAGCATTGTAACTTGTCGTATTGTGGTCGACGGGCTTTGCAAAGTTGGTAACACCTCAATGGCCGTTGAATTCCTCAGAACAATGGAAAAAGGGACACTCAAGCCCGATGCACATATATACAACAATGTTATTGACACCTTGTGTAAGGATAGAATGATAGACTCTGCCTTGGAACTTTTCAACGAAATGCTCGAGAAGGGAATCCCGCCGGATGTCGTTACTTACAGTTCTTTGATAGGTGGTTTGTGTAATTTAAGCCGTTGGGAGGAAGTAAAAAAGCTGATGAAGGAGATGGTGTTCTTCAAGATATATCCAGATGTGGTCACGTTCACCACCTTGATTGTTGCTTTATGTAAGGAAGGAATGATGGATGAAGCAGAAGATGTAATCGGAATCATGAAGCAGCAGCATGTAGTTCCAAATGTCACCTGTTACACTGCATTAATGAGCGGATATTTTCTTGAAGGGCGTAAGGATGATGCAAGGAATGTTTTCGATTTAATGGGTAGTAGCAAGAATTGTGCTCCTGATGTTATCAGCTGTAACACATTAATCAATGGCTATTGTAGAAAGATGAAGATGGACGACGCTATGGGTATCTTCCACGAGATGCCTCGTAAAGGGATCAAGCCTGATGTGTCCACGTATACCACTATACTGGGCGGTTTCTTTCGTGTGGGCAACTGGCGTGTAGCGCTTGATATTTTTTATGGGATGCAAGCTGTCGGACTAAAACCTGGCTTCTATACATACTGTAATATGTTGGATGGATTATCTAGGAATGGGCAAGTCGAGAGGGCTTTATCGTTGTTAGAAGCATTAGAGCGCAAGGGACAACATCTTTATAATGAATACTATACAATCGTCATGGATGGTTTGATCAGATCCAATAAGCTCAATGCGGGTCGATCTATTTTGGAAGATATGGTTTCGAAGGGGTTGGAATGGGATGTGGTGACCTACAATGTTTTGGTTAAAAGATGTTGTAAAAACGGGCTATTAGAGGAAGCTAAGGATCTGCTTTTCAAAATGGGACGATTAGGCTTGTCTCTGAATGAGGTTGGTTATAACACTATTGTCCGAGGAAACCTAGCAGGTGGCCAATATGACGATGCAGAAATGTTTCTTGGGGAGATGGTTGCCAAAGGATTCTTGCTAGATTTAAAAACATTTGAGATGCTACTTAGTTTATTTGGCTCCAAGGAAAAGAATCCCAAAATATTTAAAATTATCCAGAAGCTGGCGCCAAACAGTTTAAACAAAAATTAGGAGCAGAGTAGATTCTTTGGAAAAAGGTAATAATTATATATGTTCCCTTGAATTACCAAAATAAATGATTGGTTTACGTTATAGCATTCAGATCATGCTAAGAGCTGGCATCACGCGGTTCAATCAAAGTTGTTTGTGTAAGAAGTTATGGTCCTTTTGAAAAAACTTGAACAACCACTTTAAGAATTGCCATTATAGAGTTCGATCAAATTGGTTGAGTCTTGAGTCTGGACCTTCTTGGGATGTCTTGTCTTTTGACTAAATAGGATTAGTCTTGTTTTGTAAACACTCCCTCTGCTTATGTCTTCTTTTGCCACATGGAAATTATATAATTGGCCGAGTTTTATATGTTGCAAGTTGCAACGTTAAAAGAAAGGAAAACACTGTGACTTTAGATGAACTTTCAGTATTGCGAAATTCTCCTTAGCTCTCAAAATTTCCCATGACACTCTTTGTTCCCAGGTTCACCCGCACACCTTCCTGAATGAGAGTCAGTTCTTGCACCTTCGACTACAGCCTATGCAGGTTCAATCGTTCACCTTCCGCAATGAAAATCAGGTCTGCACTTCAACATCACCCAAGGCCAGTATAAATAGTTTGATTACTGGATAAACAAGATTGGAGTTGATGAGCTCATTACGGACTTCATGGCCAGCCTCCATAAGTATCAAGATGGAAGAACCATTGCTCGCATATTTCGATCGTCAAACGGAGCTTCCAGATTTTCCGAAGCGCAGCGGAGCCATTGATATTTCAAGAGGTGATTCTTCGCGCCTCGATTGTCCAAAAATTTGTCGGTGATATCTTGTATTTTCTCTATCTTAATGGGCGACAATGACCCGTTATCAATTTTTTTATTTTGAGTTCATGTTCGTCATTGGTTGGAGCTCAAACGGTTGCGGTTTTGTTTTGATTTGTCTGAATTATTGTCTTCTAAAAGATTCAATATCCGGAGCCTCGATTATACAAAATTAATGTGAGTAATTTTTGTGTTCCTCTTTTCATTGGTTAAATAGCTCTTTATCAATTTTGAATTTAAGTTCATGTTCTTCATTAACTAGAGCTCAAACAAGTGTGGTTTTCTTTTGAATTTTTCTGTAATTTTGTCCGTGAAAAGATTCAATATCCCGGAGTATTAATCATCCAAAATTGACCTGAGGTTTTGTTTTGTAATCTTTTCATGGGCTACAATGGTCAAATTTTGGTTCATAATTGTGGTTAATTGAAGCTCTCATTTATGTATTTGTTTTTTTTTTCCTTCCTTTTTTCTGATAATTTTTCGGTCAATGTTGCAACTTTGACAAGTAAAGATTATCGGCTCTTATTTTTTATGAATATTGATTACATGAACTTTTTATTTTGAACAAAATCGATTGGAAGCGAAGCATTTTACTGATTTCACCCTGGCCTGTGATGATTGATCAATTCGCCTACATTGTCTGAATACTCTGTCTTGAATGAGACACTTTGACCTTGTTTGGTAATCAGCTGTTAGCTGTTAGCAGTTAGCGGATTGGATTAGCTGTTTTGACCAGTGGATTACTTTAGTTGTTTTAACCAACTGATTGTGTTAGCGGTTTGTAAAAAGATGTTTGGCAAATTTAGCTATTTTAATTAGCTGTTAGTATGTAAAATTACTTATAAGGACATCAACATATTTTATCATTATAATTTATTTTCAACTTATAATTATTTAGGAAATAGAAATAATTAATATTTTAAATATTTTTTAAAATGATTTAAGCATAATAAAAATATAATAATAATAAAATGAAAATATTTATCAATCGAGTAGGTATGTTCACGTCATATAACAAAGTCAATAACAAGTCATCACAAATTAAAAAATATAAATGTAAGTTAATTGCAATATCTGCCATTACAATTAAAAACAAAAATAAAAGAAAAGAAAAAAAAAATAATGCTCTAAGAACGATGTCTAGATGCCATCAAACTTGAAGTTATATTATTACGAACGTTTGCCATCTCTCGTGTTCTCATTTCCCCATCACCTTGGGCAGAACTATTTTCAACATCTTCGAACACATCGGGAGGAATGTTCAGGATTCGCATCAATAACTTTAAAACGCGGATCACCAACTGTGTTTCTTCTAATATAATTGTTAAGTGCAAAATATGAATAAATGATTCTATTTTGATCTGTTAATGCATATCTTGGCATTTTATGTGGTATCTTCCATCGAGCCTTAAGAACACCAAAAACTCTTTCAATGCAACTTCTTAAAACTTCTTGAGATCCCCTCGGGTTTGAACTACGAAACTCAGACTGATAATATCTTGTCTTGGTGTAAGACGTTAAATAACCTTCTCTTTCTAGGTAGCCTTTGTCTACAGATTATAAAGATAAAACAAAGTATCAAGTAGATATTAACTCAAACCAAAACAAAAAAAAAAAAAAAA